ACTTCAGATCTTTTGAACACATCTGGCATGCAATTGGCTTTATTGGTTCAGCCATTAGCTCTTCCACATCCATCCGAGGAGCCTATCCAAGTAAGACTAGAAATTGGAAAATACTTGTTTTCTTGAAAATTTGTGAAACTGAAATATAAATATACTGAAAAAAATGTGTGAATTATTTTCCAGATAGTGGATTTTGGTGAAGGTGGACCTGTTCGTTGTTCTCGTTGCAAAGGCTACATCAATCCATTCATGAAATTTGTTGATCAGGGAAGACGTTTCATCTGTAACTTTTGTGGTGAGTAGTTACTTTTCATATCTCTTGATTGTTATAAATAATAATAATAATAATAATAATAATAATAAATATATGTTTTTATTTTTTTCAGGCTTCACAGATGAAACTCCACATGACTATCAGTGTAATCTTGGGCCAGATGGAAGAAGAAGAGATGCAGATGAAAGGCCTGAGCTTTGTAGAGGAACAGTTGAATTTGTTGCCACAAGGGAATTTCTGGTGAGCTTTTTAGTTTGTTATCCAATAAGTAAAAAAAGAAACAAAAAATATATTATTATATTATTATATTATTCATAGGTACGTGATCCAATGCCAGCTGTATTCTTCTTCCTGATTGATGTATCAATGAACGCCTTGCAAACTGGTGCAACTGCAGGAGCTTGTAGTGCTATTAGCCGAGTTATTGCTGATCTTCCAGTGAGTTTAATATATTATATATAAAATTATTACTAAAGTTTGTATAAAGTTAATGATTTGTTTATAAAAATGATTGTTACAGGAGAGTCCTCAAACAATGGTGGGAATTGCTACATTTGATGTGACTATACATTTTTACAATCTGAAACGTGCATTGCAACAGGTGAACCATAAATAATCACAGATGATTATATAACATTAAAAAAAAAAATTGTGTTTAATCTTGAGTTCTTGACACATTTTGTTGTTTGCAGCCATTAATGCTCATAGTTCCTGATATAGAAGATGTTTACACTCCTCTTGAAACTGATGTGATTGTTCAGCTTTCAGAGGTAAAGTTCTCTACTTGTTATTTAGTTTAAATTTAAATATTGTGTTTCAAAGTTATTATTATCATCAATTATTATTTATTAATTTATTATTATCATTAAAGTGTCGTCAACATCTAGAATTATTGCTGGAAAGCATTTCAAGTATGTTTCAGAATAATAAAACAGCTGATTCAGCTTTTGGTGCTGGGATGAAGGTACTAAATTTTCATTTTGATTTATAAAAATAATTGAAATTCAAAATTATATATCCAAATAATTGAATTTTTTTCTACTTAGGCTGCTTTTCTGGCAATGAAGAGTACAGGAGGCAAACTTTTGGTATTTCAATCAGGCAAGTTTACAATATTTTTATATTTGGAGATTCAAGGGCAGAAACGTAATTTGACTGTTTTGTTATTTTATAGTCCTGCCTTCTGCTGGAATTGCTGCTCTTTCTGCTAGAGAGGCTGAAGGAAGAACTAATATCTCTGCAGGAGAGAAGGTATTTTGTGATTACATCATATTTGGGGAAATAGAAGTAAAAAAAATAAAATAAACAAGGGCAAATTCGTAAAAAGATGAACTAAATGTGGAAAGCATCCTTTTCCTGACTTTTTCTAATAACTCGTTCTTTCAGCATTAAGCCAAAAAGAAACATTTAATAAAATGATCATTTTACCCTTACATTCCAGAAAAAAAATTTCAAAATATTCATCAATTTTAAGTTTTTAACAAAATTCATTAATTTTATGTTGTTGAGCTGCAGGAACCTCATAGATTACTTCAACCAGTAGACAATACTATGAAGACAATGGCTATTGAATTTGCAGAATACCAGGTGAAGCTTTTTTTTATAACTTTTAAGTTTTTCTTTTTGATTAAATGATTAAATGAATATTATTTTCAGGTCTCTGTTGATGTATTCATTACTACTCAAAGTTATGTTGACATTGCTTCAATCTCTGTTATCCCAAAGACAACTGGAGGCCAGGTATATATTCATCAAACACTTTGTATCACTTTTCTTGATGTTTTTAATAATTTATATTTAAAAATTTCACATTTTTTTTTTCAGTTATATTATTACCACCCATTTTCTGCCCTTTCTGATCCTGCAAAACTTTACAATGATCTTCGATGGAATGTCACAAGGCCACAAGGTTTTGAAGCTGTGATGCGTGTTAGATGCAGTCAGGTGTGAGCTTATCAGCTTAAGGAGGGCATTTTCGTCTTTTTCCTTTGTTGATTTTTTTGTTTTCTGTAGGGTCTTCAAGTACAAGAATACTCAGGAAACTTCTGTAAACGCATTCCTACAGATGTTGACTTACCTGCGGTTTTATACAAATCTCTAAACTTCAACCTTTATATGTATTCTTCATTCTTGTTAATTTTTTATTTAAAAAATGATATTTTTTCAGGTTGATTGTGACAAATCTTTAATGGTAACTTTGAAACATGATGATAAATTAACTGATGGCACAGAATGTTCTTTCCAGGTATATATATACTTTAAGCATTTCTCCTTTCTTTCAAATTAGGGTTAAATGAAAGCTTTTTATTAATCTGTTTGTTATTATAGCTCCTTTTCAAAGTATAATGTCTTACATTGGTATTTTATCCAGTGTGCACTTCTTTATACTACTGTATATGGACAAAGAAGAATACGAGTGTCCACCTTATCCTTACCATGCACCACCATGCTTAGCAATCTTTTCCGTTCAGCTGATTTAGACACCCAATTTTCTTGTTTTCTAAAGCAAGGTAATAATAAATTAATTTCCATTTTTTCATTTTTCTGTTTTTATATAAGTGAATACTAAAAAAGTTCCATTTATGTTGATATTTTCAGCTGCAAATGAAATCCCAATTACGCCCTTATTACAAGTGAGGGATCGAGTCACAGATCTTAGTATCAACATTCTTCATTCCTATAGGAAATTTTGTGCAACTGTTTCATCATCTGGACAACTTATTCTTCCTGAAGCTCTCAAGTTGTTGCCTTTATACACTCTTGGTATGTTTATATCATTCTACTTTCATTTAATCATATAATAAATAGATGAATGAGAAAATAGATTGCTATTTCTTGAATTTTTTTTTTTTTCAGCTTTGATTAAAAGTATTGGATTGAGAACGGATGGGAGAATAGATGATAGATCATTTTGGATCAGCTATGTGACTTCTCTTTCTGTTCAATTAGCAATCCCACTTGTGTATCCTAGAATGATAAGTGTTCATGACCTTATTTCAAAGGTATAGAATAAAACAAAATGAATCTTTATATACATAAACAAACATTGGGTTTTGATCTGGTATTTGTGAGTCCACAGGAAACAGATGGATCTGGATCAGTTATTCCTCCACCTATACCTTTATCTAGTGAACATGTGAGTGATGAAGGAATCTATCTTCTTGAAAATGGTGAAGATTGTTTAGTTTATGTTGGAAGCTCTGTAGATCCTGATGTAACACAAAAACTGTTTGGTATATCGTCTGTTGGTGAAATCCCTACTCAGGTATGTATGAATGAGGGCAAATTTGTAAATAGTGAAAGACAACATCTTTTTCTGACTTGTATTTGTGTGTTTAGTTTGTGTTGCAGCAGTATGACAACCCTTTGTCAAAGAAGCTACATGAGGTCATAAATGAGATACGAAGCCAAAGATGTAACTACTTAAGGTATGTGATTTTTTTTTTTTTTTTTTTTTTTAAATTAAAGAAGATAAAATGATTGTTTTTTTTTTAATGGCATTGTATTTTTTGCAGGTTAAAATTATGCAAGAAAGGTGACCAATCAGGTAAGGCATAGCGGTTTGTTGTTAATAATATAATTTTCAGTGTTTGATAAAATGTCTAAAATGCCCTTGAATGTATTTCAGGAATGACGTTCTTTTCTTATATGGTGGAAGACAAGTCTCCAAATGGTTTGTCATATGTTGAGTTTTTGGTGCATGTTCATCGGCAAATTCAAAGTAAGATGCAATAATTAATGTTGAAAGAAGAATCTTCAACTCTATTTTTGTTTATGGGTTTTGGGTAGTATTTATATGGGGGCAAAATGGTCAAGTCAGAAAAGAAAGAAAGTTTGAATCTTGGGTGAAAATGAGGGATAGTTCCATCCGTTTTTTTTTATGGTCGAGAACAGTTTTGTTAGTTTGAAATTATTTAAAATGTAGAGCATAAAATAAACAGATTTGATTATAATGAGATATAAGTTCAGTTGTATATGTAATGGAGTTTTTCTCTTCATAAGAGTCAAATTAGGATCAATTTCACTCGAGGACTACAACCCAATTAGTCTAAATCGGGTGTTTCGTCAGAATCCCAAATGTTATGTTATGAGATGGGTCATTTTTGTAATTATTCATTTTTATATTTATTTCAATTTTTTATTATTATTGCACATCCCATTTTCACTCCTATAATTGGATAGATGCAATAATTAATGTTGAAAGAAGAATCTCCAACTCTATTTTCTTTATGTTTTATTGAAAGTTTTTAGATGTTCAACCTAAAACCATTTAATTAGAAGTTGGTGTTGTAAAATAATTATATCATTTTTGGAATTTTAGGAAAATACGCTAATTATAGTTGTGTATAAAAAATGATTCAAAAACTGTCTGGCTTTTTGATAATTTAAAACTAAAAAATCATATGGAGAAGTAAAAAACTAATTTTCCTGTTTAACATAGGTTGAACTTCCACCCCAAAAAAAAGAAAGACAAAATCTTAACTCGAATGTTCAAATCTCATAAAATGTTTGAACGTATAGGAAAGGAACTACAAAAAAAAAAAAAAAAAAAAAAAAAAAAAAAAAAAAAAAATCTGGTCTTTCTACATCAGTTGCATTGCAATTCCTTAAATTAGATTCCAATTCCTGTGACTATTCATTTCAAAATTTTAGCGTCTGATTGATAAATAGATTCATTCTCAAGCTCTGGATTCTATGTTTTCTAATACAAAATTAACAAAATTTCTCAAAAAACCCAACCAAAACTCCAGATCTTACTTTCCTTTTTTGCTAACAAAAGGCTGCAAAGCAATCGGCAATTCATTCACCTCAGTAATCCTCTTTTGCTTCTTCTTATCCCTTCCTTCATTCTCCTCAACAAACCCCCTCTTTGCATTCTCAATCCCCTCCTGTTTCTTCCTCGCCACTTTACTCGGCTTACTCCTCCCCTTCGTCTTCTTCTTCACCGCCACACTCTTGGCGGCAGCCACCGCCGCCGCCTTCTCCTCCTCCACTTCCGCCTTCGTCTTCTTCTCCTTCCTCTTCACCTCCCTCATATTCCCAACCTTTGTGGGGTCCAGCATCACCGATTCCGGCGGCAGTTTATCAAGCAACACCCTCACCTCCTTCTCCCGCCTCTCCTTCACCGTCTCAAACGGATTCGCCACCCACGAATCAAAGTTCGGTTCCCCAGACCCTGGAACCAGAATCGACGAAAACCCCATGGAATGTCCGATTCCGAGCACGTCTTCGTAAGGTCGGAATTGGATTCTATTGATTTGGTAACCTTTTGCCATTGTATGAATCATGTATCGATTGTAATTTGAAGAATCTGAAGATTGTAAAATCTGTGTGAATGAGCCTGTGGAGGCTGCAAGGAGGCCTTTTTGGCTGAAACTTAGGGTTTTGGCATTTCCGGGAAGAGTTTGTAGGGTTTTGTAGGTTCTTAAATCCCAGATTTTGATTTTCTTGTCCATTCCAGCAGTGGCCATGAGGTGGCCGTTTGGGTGGAAGGAGATGGCGGTGACCGGGCCATGGTGGCAGAGGATTTTGATTAGCGGGGTGGAGGTGGTGGGCTTCCACATGCAGACTGTGCCGCCCGAGTGGCCGGAGGTTATGACACTGTTGTAAGGGTTTAGTTGTAAAACGTCTGACCGGCCAAGGGCAGTTCGGTAATTTCCCACCATTTGACCGGTGGTAATGTCTTGAAAGCGGAGGTGGCTGGATTTGTTTATGGATGATAGAAGGAAATGGTTTTTGAGAAATTGAAGCTTCAACACTGCTCCATGTTCCTGAAGAACAAAAAATTAAAAATAATACATATAATTTGAAAAATCTATCTAATTATAGGAGTGAAAATGGAATGTGCAATAATAATAAAAAAAATCAATGAAAGTATGTTGCTATTTCTTGCATTATGAAAATTTTAAAATTTATGAATGGTGGGACTGACCTTCAGGCAATGAAGTTCTGTGCCAGCACGGTTGTAAATATATGTGTATCTGTATATAATTAGAAAAATAATCATATAATTGATATATAAATAAGGATGATTTTCCAATTCATAACTTAATTTACTACAAGGAAAAGAATCTTTACTTCTTTTGTGCTGCAGCAAAGAACAATTCATTGTGCAAAAACACCACATCGCGCACAGTTTCTCTAACCTGAAACAATCAACAACTTATATTTTTAACTAATTGTTTTCAAGTAAAATATTAAGGTTTCAAAGTATGCAACTTCTAAATCTAATTACCTGAAAGTCCTTAACAGGTTTCAAAGTATGCATGTCCATAATCGCCAGGTGGCCTTTGCGTCCTGCTGTCAACATATATCTCCCACTTGAGGTGTAATCAATGGTGTAAGGACCAAGATCTGTTCAACCACATTCAGTTTGTAACATTTACAGGAGAAAAATGAGCCCACTAGTTACATAAGAAAGATAGATCATTTCAGCTTTCTAGAAAAGTGAAATGTCTTCAACACTTATAAATTATGTGCGGAAGGTTATTAAGCACTTGAGCATTAGATTCATAACAAGACGAATGCAGGTGGGAACCTGGTAAGATGATATCAAATTGATTCTTTCTACTAGCAACATCCACTTCCTGAGCAATAGACTGCTGACTGAACCTCCATGTCTTTTCAATACCTTCAGGTTCCAGAAGGCCACTCTCAGTTTGCATAAGCCACTGAACAAACCAACCGACATCAATACATGTAAACACATAAACAAATTACGCATTGAAGAAAACCAAAAGTGTAAAACAGCAATGAAACTCCACCTTCTCAGCTTTAGCAGCAGCATTAGCAGACTTTTTATATAGTTCTTCTCTATTAGCAAGCTGGCCTTTCAACTTTTTGTCTTTCAAGCCCTGCAAAAAATGAGGAATAATTCAGATTGAAATGTTAACAAAGCCGAATGTGCTGTGGTATCAATCAGTGATGCGAGTTGTACCTCTAAGTCGGCACTTTCACCTCTCTGGTATTTTTTAACTTTGACAGCGATGTCATCCGAAAAATCCTGAAACCAAAATAAGTATCCGCATGCTAAGTTGTCGATATTGATAGAAGCATTTGTAACAATAATCCACCAGATAATTTACGAGAACAAAATTACAACTAACACAAACATACACACACACAGGAATAAAACACGATAAACATTGGGATGTTTGCGAGAGATACGTACCTGTATCTCCATTTTCTTATGAAATTTGACCAGGTCGTGAGCGTTGGTGGAGTCAGCGTCCGGTGCCTGCGGATGTGGTGGCCGGAGAAGGGGTCGGAGGAGGGATTCCGGTGAGCAGGTGATGGTGGCGCAGTGAAGAGAGATGACCTAAACAAGTTAAGAGGGAGGGTTTTAATTCAATATTTTGTTAAATTGCTTCTTTCTGGGTTTATGCACTAAAAGCCCCTTGAGATTTTTTTTTCGGACTTATACCCATTTTTTTTACGACTTCTCCAAGGGGAGTGAGATATACTATGTGGACATCGGCAGAAATTATGTGAACTGGGGTCCATTTTATAAATAATATAAAAAATACATAAAAAATAATAATTAATGAAACGTTGAAAGCTAATATAATATGCCTATTAAAATTAAGAACCTTTAACTAACTATAAGTCAATCTGTCTCTACTTCAGGTTGAAAACCATAAAATATGAACATTCCAACTCCTAAAAAGCTAAAACAAACCGGTCCATAAATGATGATTGATGGCAACAGATTAAGAAAGAAATTATAAAGAAAAATCGAAATCAGTTGAAGAGAAGAGAGCTTACCAAAATCAGTTGATGATGATGCTTTCGTTACTTGTCTCTTGCTTCAGATTGAAAAAAAAAAATCGAACTCAGTGTTATCAGTTTAACAATGAGAGGTGATTGAAATCGAACTCAAAAACAGAAATCAGAGGAGAGGTTGAAAAAAGTCGATTAGCAGCAGGTTTAGAGAGAAATCGAACTAAAAAATCAGTCAATTTAGAGTGTTTCTACTCCTATTTCCTCGTCCGTCGAGTGTCGACTCCTCTGTACGATTTTCAAAGGGCAGGGATTGGTATTGACGATTGCAGTTATCAAGCTTTCAATTTGGGTTCATGCCTTTCATTCTTTCCGGACGCTATTCTTCTAAGACAGGAGAACTGGGCTTAAATTTTGGGCCAAAATAACATGTATACACTATTAATATTTGGATAAAAAATATTAAATATGCCCCCTTCTATTTCTATTTGATGTCTTGGGCCGAAGCCTAACTTTATGTAATTTTCAAATACAAAGTTTTAAGTGGGTGCCACGAGATTTTTTTTGGGACCATCTAATTAAAAGAAATATATATATATATATATATATATATATATATATATATATATATATATATATAATATATATATATATATATATATATATATATATATATATATATATTAGTAGTTACCCGCACAAAGCGGCGGCGTTGAATAGTTTTTTAGGTAATTAGTTTCATTTAGAAACATGTTATATTATAAGAAACATAAGAAAAATACATATTGTTATCGGCCGGTTTGGGATGACGATTAGAGTCCTTTCAGCGAATGCCGAATAATTTCAACACCCATAGTAAAAAAATAATAATAATAACAGTAATAATAAATTATATTTTAATATGGTTAAAAGAAAATTTTAATAATGACTTAACATTGCTAATCCAATATTTTTAGGGTTGGGGGGTATGTTTAGAATGAACTGTAATCATTTATCGTATAAAATATATTGACGTATTCTATAATAAATTCACATTAGATATATATTGTCGGGATACTTATAGTTTTTAAATTTGTATAGATTCATCTAATTAAAAGTATCACCTTTTTAGCTAAACTATTTGATAGTATGTGGATCTATTTATAGTAAACTTTTGGGGTGAAAACTGATGACATGAAACGAAAAAAATACACGCTCCGAAATAAAATTGGGACGAAACTGAAATTCGAATTCGTTTCCGTATCGTGTTTGGGTCAAGTGTAAAAAACACGGGGCTGTGTAATGTCATGTTGGTATTCGAAATTCGATACGAAATTGACACGATTTAACATTTATTTGTCGTGTTTTTTTGTGTTTGTCGTTTGATTAAATATTAATTAAATAAACTAATTGTTACGTTATGTTATCTTTGTCTTGTTATGTTGTATTTGTCATTTTATAATTGGTTCGCTTTTGTGTTAGTTAAAATAAACATGATTGTCCAATTAGTCACCCTAGTAAAATAAAACATAATTGAATTTTAATGATATTTTCTAAAAAAATCCACAATATTTTAATATCAAATTTGAGAAGAATATAACAAATATTAAAATTTATTGTAAATCCATAATTAAAACAATTAATGCAACTTTTTGTTCCAAAATGGAACTCACGCTTTATGTTTAAAGTTTTAAAATAAGTAAAAAATTATATTTGTTTTGATATTAAAAGTCTCATCGTCCAAAAAAATTAACAGAATTTAGACTAAGTACATATAACTTAATAAAATACACACTACGATTTTTTCGTATTGAGTATAAAATATTTGAAGTGTATTAAAAATATTAGATTCATCTTTTAAGAATAAAAAGAACCGCTAATTGTTTTTTCCTTCTCTTTCAACACTTATTTTATTTTCTTCTAATTCATAATTAAATGAAGAATGCATAAAATATATGATATCCTTGTATCAACTATTTTTTGTTAACTTACCACCATATTTACCATCTCTCCGGTCAATTTTTTAATATTCCAACCCTTAATGAAAAATAGATTTTCACAGTTGTAATTATGACCACCATGATATCCTAGTAGTCGATCAATCATTCCTCTTTAGCTGTAACTATGACCAAATTGCCCTTGGTGAGCTTAACTGATATGATCTCAGGCATAACTTAACTGTAATGTGATAGAAGGGAATAGAATATGATATATTCCCAGATTGCCCATGCAGCCTCCTATGTGACAAACTCTTTGCTTTTTCTGTTGTGAAATATTCTCTTATTGGTTTGTTTAGTTTAAGATTGAAAGTATGAAACTATTTGTTGAAATTGGTAGATTATGACATTTTGAAATTGGTTTGTTTAGTTTAAGATGTAAAGGTTGGTTAAGCCAGTTGAAGTTGTTTTTTGGTATGGTGGAGATTGGATGGCAGCTGTAATTTCTTTTTGGTGTTTAGTACCTTCATGATTGTCAAATCATCCACTGGGCCATCGGGTGCTTTGTTAAACATAGATCCCAAACCATTTCATCTTACAATCTGCATGAAAACTTTAATTTCTTTGGAGGATTCAAAGGTAGTTGAATTTGCAGCAGTGACAATAGAAGACATTGTTCCTAGTTTTGCAAAAATATTTCCAGCTATCAGTTCACAACCTCTTTATGAGCCCTTTACTGTTGTTTTTGTAAAGGATAATAACATACATCAGTAAACTAATTTTTTACAATGAAATTGTTATTAAATTATTCATATTTTCTATGGACGAAATATTTTTTTGTGGTGTTGCAATATCTAATAAATCAAAACAAGTCAGGGGAATACATACATGAAAGTTTCTTTTATAATAATGCATATAGTCCTTTTACCAACTAACAAAAAACCCACTTTGAATATTGAACTACCAGCTGAAAATGAATGTTGATTACAAAAGAGAAAGAGACAAGACTATCCTTCTAACATGGCCATATACCCTGCTGCATACTATAAATCGTGAACCACCAACTAAAAATGAAAGTTATTACAACTTTGTCTACTCTCCTATGTGATAAGCTTTGCATATGCAGCCTCCACCTGTTATAAGAAACAAAGAACATTCCTATTTCTTGCTAACCCTAAATAAAGAAAAACCAATAGTGGATACAACAAAGGTACATGAACTGCAATAAAATATTTTTACACTTTATACCATTTATACAAATTATACCAATTATGCCCTTCATACCCTTTAGTCATGAAGAATAAGTCGTTTATGCATGTTTCAAGCCCTAATAACAACAATATCAAATCATTAAAATAGTAAAATAATAATATTCAATAACATAAATTACTTTCCATTTTTTATAATATTAATTCTTGTAGTTCCATATAAATAAATAAATAAATAAATAACTATAAACTCTACTGACCTTTTTTATAAAACTTTTCAACAGAACTTGTTTTTGTCAAGTAAATTGTTGGGGTATCGGAATCTTCTAGATGCCCTTTTTACAAAAATAACTTCAAAACCAAGATTTCTGTTAATAGAATTGGATATGGATTTTTACCTTGCAAAAAGACGAACCATCGAACCAATATCTACCATGTTCAAATCCATCATGCTTTTAGCAAATTCAAATTCTGTGAAAAGTAGGAACACCCCTATCATAAGTCAAGAAAGAAAGGTAAAATAATTACCTTTTAAACAATCGTGTATTGAAACAACCAGGAGAAGAAACGGAAATGAAGAACTTTCTCAAAGAGAAACCTAAATTTAAAATATTTCGAATTAAAATTCTTATTTTTGATGTTGCTTTCTGCAGGGGAGATATGACTCCCAGACAAAGGGTTTTACAAAGAAGATAAGCCAATAAAGGTTAAAAGAGAGACCCTATAACAACAAAAATTGCAGCATTGGGAAAGATAGTGCTTCAAGTTAAACTAAATTTGGTCGATTTCACCTTTTTGAAGCAAATTTTGCTCTTTTTAGAGCCCTATCCTTCTTGAGATCCCGACCATTCTTATTCCTACACAAAAAATGAAGAGGGCGAGATATGTGACGAAGATAGGGAGAAAATAGTTGTGGAATGTTTATAGACCTTGGGTTTTTGATGTTGGGTTTTTAGCAGCAATGGTTTCATGGTGACGAATACAGGGAGAAAATAGTTGTGGAATGTTTCTAGACCTTGGGTTTTTAGCAGCAATGGTTTCATGGTGATGCATATACAAAGAGAGACGAAAAGTAATGGCAATGGTTTCTATAGAGAGATAGAGAGGTGTTGGTGGCTTCGTTTTGGGTTTGGTTCGAGAGAGAGAAAAACGAAGGAGATGAGGGGCAGTGGCGTTGATAGAAGATTGGTGGTAGTGACGTTGGAGCAATAGAAGATATGAGCTCGTGGTTTGTGGTTGTTGTTGCTGGTTCCGAAGGGGCGGCGTTGAGAGGTTTGGCCGTTTGGGTTTTTAGAGAGAATGTGGAGAGACAGTTCTAGGATTTTAGAGAGAATGTGGAGAGACGGTGGTGGAGTATTGGAGTCCATGGAAAATGGAAAATGGTGGTGGTTAGGGTTTACAGTGAGATGAAGCGGGGCATTATCTAGAAGTGTGCAACACCAAATCCTCTCATTCCTCCGTATGTATATGGTTTCTTTCCTATTTGAATGGTTCTTTCATTTTGAATTGGCCAAAAATACCGGTAATTTGAATAAGTCTTAGCTAAAATTTGGGAATATATTAGGAAAGATAGCTAAAATTTGGGAATATATTAGGAAAGATAAGGAGACACGGGAAAAGTGAAATGAGATACATTTATTGCTAAATTGTTTGATTATACTTTTAGCTTATAAATTTGGACATTTTAAATTTTGATTTTATTTTATTAAAGTCTGGTTGTACCTTAAGCTTAAACACTTGGACGTCTTAAATCTATTTTTAGAAATAGTAAGGTTTGTATAATAATATAGTAATATATATATATATATATATATATATATATATATATATATATATATATATTGGGACCCAACTTTAAGTGGGGTCCAAGCACCCCACTACTTGTACATTGCATCCGCCACTGGACATCGGGTACCAATGGGTATGTTGGAGGCACCAATAAATTCAACCCTTGTGGTGGAGTCAACCCTGTTATCTCTCTCCTCTCATTTCCCTTCTTCTCCCCTTTTCTGCCCCCGAATGTCCCGTTACTTAGGGAAAAAGCCATTTAAGAGAAGATCTCCCTGAGCATCCTATCCTTTTTCTTCTTCTTTTACAATGTATCTTATAAATCGTTAGTTGTACCCAAATATGAGGGGTGTAAGGGATGATCATTTACATGTGTTTAGAGAAATGAGTGAAATAACGAGAAAAGAGAGGAAAAAAAAGTGATAGTGGAGATAATATGGCTTCGAAAGGCAGGGATGACACGGATGGATATCCACCATATTACAATATTTATTTATTAAAATCAGTTAAACATATTACAAATAGTTACAAGGACACAATCCAATCCAAAAAAAAAGATGGTCTAAAATAGTCAACTACAAAAAACCAACCAACCATCTACTCTAAAATAACTCAAAAGAGTTCCAAATCGCCCAATGTTGGTTGGAATTTATCGGAAGAAGTGGATTAATGTCTTGCGGAATATAATTTTATGCAACTAAAATATTCATAAACACATGTTATATCCTTATATTAACTTTGAAATATTAAAATTTACATTGATATGAAATATTATAACTTTCTATCACCTCACCAAATGAATTCGGTTCTAGTTGGACTCTTCTAACGTACGCTTTTTTCACTAAGAATCGATATATCTCAAAATTAGTTTATGTTTTTTAATGGGAAAATGACTTAATACTTAAGAGGGTAATCTGGTATTTATTTTGTTCACATTTAGTCGTTGAAGTTTTTTTTATCTATATTTGATCAGATAACTTGTTTTTTTGTACACATTCAGCCCAACTGGCTGACCTAATATGATAATATAATTTCCAGATTGTACATATTTAATCATTAATGTTTTTGTACACATTCAATCCTTGTGACTGGTTTCTTTAGGTTTATTCATGATATCCTACGTGTAACAATCATTAATGAGGTGTCTTATACGTGGTTCATCCATCACTCATATCAACAACCTAATTCATGAATCGGTCAAATAATGTTGGTGTCATAGTTTTCTCCAAACATAAGATATCTTCAGCTTCGGTTTCATCTATCTTCGTAACAAACAACGAGATTCTTTGCAATTGCTTCCTCCCAACTCGAATTTGCAATTCTGAGACAAAAGATACTCTGGCAAAAAATTTAGAATCTTTCCTAATTTATACATGGTTCACAATAGGGATGAGAATTTGGCTCGAAAACCCGACATAACCGAAACCCGAACATAACCGAACCAAATTAGGCCCGAATAAGCAATTCGATTCGATTCTCGGGTATCTATATTAGGCTTATTTGGTTCTCGGGTTATTCGGTCCGGGTTACCCGAATAAGGGCTTATTCGGTTCTAAATACCTGACTCAGAATTGAAAAATCATTTTTTTAATCGTATTTTTCTTGCTGCATCAAATGACCTACACTTAATTGATCCGGTCGTGTTTTTCTTTGTCCTTCCTTCGATAATCGAGCCATACATTCAAACAAAAAAAAACCCTGTTGCATCGTATTACCGAAGTCGACTTTCCACTCAATCGTACTACACAAATTCTAACCGTTTTTTGCACATTTGAAACAGTTATATATACTTTGTATTATTTTTAATTAACAAATTTGTTTCTTTAAAAGATTTGTTATGGAATCATAAACTACAAAAGTCATAAAAAAATACAATGTTTATAATCATATTATAAATGTTATTTGGGTTATAGATTCTTTTCGGTTATATTAGGTCTTTAATTATCTTGTACATGTTATTCGGGTAATAACCGAACTGAACCGATTAATACCCGAACCGAACCGAACCGAACCCGTATTGGTTATTTGGTCTGGTGTTTGGTTCATGCAATTACCTTTATTCAGTTTAGTTTTCAGGTTATTCGGGTTCGGGTCGGTTCGGTTCGTTCCGACCCGAATAACATCCCTAGTTCACAAAAAACATAAAGAAACATCATAAAGATTGAATGTGTAAAAAAGTTGAAGAAACCAGTTATAAAGGTTGAATGCGTATACAAATATTAATGATTAAATGTGTGCAAAATGAAAACTATATTACCATATTAAATCATTTTTTCCGGATTAACCTTGACCGAATGTTTATAAAAAACAAATTAAATGGTTAAATATGAACAAAAAAAATCGAATAACAAAATTATACAAAAAAAAAAAATATATTACCTCTATTAAAGCCATTTTTCATTTTTTATTGATCACGGGAAAATTTCCTTTTGCTTCTGATAATGAAACTAGAATAAATAATACCACTACAATATCAAATATTTTAGTTTCAAAACAGGTCCTGCTGTTTGTGTCTAGTTACATTCAAAATCTATCCTTTATTAAGATTTCAAGTTATGACCTTTCTGCCCGTGCTTCTTATTTTTCTTTCATTTCAATTATTTTCTAATTTCGACTTAGTAGTGCTTTCAATTTTCCTGATGTTAAATATACAACTACACACACTAAGTTTACATTTCAATTATTTTCTAATTTCAATTATTTTCTTTCATTTCGACTATTTTCTAATTTCGACTACTTTCTAATTTCGACTTAGAGGTTGGCCCTTCAAGCAGGGGCGGAACACGGCAAGTAAAAGTAGGGGGGCCGAAACCGAATGTCTAAAAAAAATCCAAACATATGTATTTATTATTTAGTTAAATTGTCGATGTCAATGATATTAGTCTGTTTATCAACTAAAGAACATATAAATTCTCTTGCTTTAGATTATTTTTATTAATAAGAAAATATACAGTTCTAAAATATGAATAAAATGGTGATTTAATCATAAAATATTATATTATATCACGAAAAGCATTTATTTGACAATACATTGAATAGGCAAAAAGCAAAAGCTGACAAAAACTTAAAGGCTACAGGCTTCTCTCATTTACAACGAGCAAAGACTTTTTGTGTTCACAGTTTCAAAAGTTATAAAAGTAAAAGACGAGAATTCATAAATTAGAGATTGAAGTTGTTAAAAGATAAACGATAGAAATCTACATACAAGGAGACCTTGGAAACGAGATGGGCAACAGACGTTTTCGGTCAGACATAGAGGCGACGAAGAGCTAGAATTTCCGGCATTGTCCGGCGTCAATTTTAAAGCGGCGACCAAAGATAAGAGAGACGCGGTTAGGGTTTTTTAGATTTTACTCTTTAGGTTTCTTTGATCTACTTTTTATGGGTTTATAAAAGTCTTAATTGAGGTTGATTACTCCGCTTTTATCTATTAGAATATAGAAGAGTTTATTTATTTATTTTTTTGATATTTTTATAGACTCCCGATTTCTCAAAGATCAATTAAATTTTGATATCAAATGTTTTAGACCCTTAGTAACTTACCTTTTTTTCTCAATTTTGAAATTGTGTCGATACATTCTTTTTTGGATAGCATAATCCACAGCTCATTTCAAACACATCGTCAAGAACCAAACTCGTCAAGATTTTTAGGAAGTTATTGGGCAAAAAAACGGGGGGGCCATGACCTCCCCTGGCCCCTTAAAGGATTCGCCCCTGCCTTCAAGTCTTGAAAAATTATGATGACGCACAAACTTTCAAAGAAAAAGTTGCACAAAAACTACTACTTTATAAAAACCGGCCCAACCTCTCATTTGCTGCTATTATGTGTATATTTACAAATATACCAAAGAAAAAAATTCCCAGTACAATGTAACATTTTATCTATACATTTCACATACAGCAATTTGCCCGCCAAAACAACCCTGAAAAAAAAGTCAAACAAACCCAAAAAAAAAAAGTCAACGTGACCGTGACAATAACCTCAAAACTTCACCATAATCGCTCATACTCCCACTCGAAAACCTCTTCATTCTTTCCCATAATTGCAATCGTCTCCTGGGCCTCAATGGGCCCGAACTCGAGCTTATCCTATACGAATCTACATCAAGCCCGAGCCCTGAAAACCCACTCTCCACATCTAACGGGCTCTCATAGCCCGTATAATTGGACCGGGTCGGGCCTGATTCAGGCCCGGCCCGCTGGTCAAACTCCATGGATGCTAAATCCTCTTGGCTACAACTTCTTGACCCCAAATCTTGTGTCTCTTCACACTCATTACATACCAATTTCAAAGCTTGAACCACCTCACCCATAAAAGGCCGATGAGACACCTCGGGTTGCACACACATTGAAGCGATTGCAGCCACTTTGGCTATACTATCAAACGGGACTTCCGGGCTCAATGACGGGTCGATCAACAAGTTTAACCCTTCTGGGCTCGGGAGTAAGGGTCGGGCCCACGCAACTAGGTTTTCTTGGCCCGATGGCATTGACATGTCAACGGGCTTCCTTCCGGTTAGTAGCTCGAGAAGTACCACACCGTAGCTATAAACATCACTCTTTACAAGAAGATGGCCCGTCATCGCGTACTCGGGGGCCACGTATCTACAAAAAAATCAAGAAAATTGTATGATTTGGAGTGTAAAGTGTTTTTTTTTTGGAGGGAAAGAAATCGAAGGATGTAATGTACCCGAATGTGCCCATGACACGGGTGGAGATGTATCGGTTGTCTTCATCTAAAGCAGTTCGGGCCAACCCGAAATCGGAAACTTTTGGAGTGAAGTCGTCTTCTAAGAGAATGTTGCTAGATTTGAAGTCGCGGTGTATGACTCTTGGGCTTGAGTCTTCGTGCAAGTAAGCTAGCCCACGGGCTGCACCTAGGGCTATCTTTAACCTGGCCCGCCAATCTAAGGGTGAGGTTTCCTTGTCAATTCCTGAAACAACCAAAGTTTACCATCTTCATAAACAAAAGTCGAGCACAAAAAGTCAACCATTTTGAGTTTCCAAAGTCGACTAAAATATTTTTTTGGCTTAGATGACGTTTGACGTCCGTGTTATGTAGCAGATGACAGGTTATATACCGAGACTGATGTCACTGGGACAAAATTTGTAATTTTTTGTCTTATCCAAAAAGGTGGAAGACATGACATGACATGACACAACATGTTATATTGTTGTCTAAAAAGATGGAAGACATGACAGAACACGTTGTATTGCTTTAGGATGTCAATGGGACAAAAACTACAAATTTTTTGTCCCATTCAAAAAGGTGAAAGAAAGGACATGACAAAACACATTATACTACGTTTGTCATGCAATGTACCGGAACCAAAGTCAACGAGACAAAAACTGCAATTTTTTGTCCCACCCAAAAAGACACCGCATTGACTCGCTCTTTTCTCATCCATTTAAAAGACATAAATACCCTCCTCACACTGCTAGTCTTAAAAATATATCATAGCTATACCATGAAGATGAGATTCAACGCTTCCATTTGGGATGAGCTCATAAACCAAACACCGGGTTTTTTCCTCAGTACAAATACCGATCAACCGGACTAAGTTTCTATGATGCAAGCGGCTAAGCATCTCCACTTCAGCCAAAAATTCACGCCCCCCTTGTTGATCATCTCTCTTAAGTACTTTAACTGCAACTTTTGTTCCATCTTCAAGAACACCACTATACACACGCCCAAATCCACCTTCACCAAGAACTCCCAATTCATTGAAGTTATCGGTTGCTTTCTCCATTTCACTTGAAGTAAATGTCTTAGCGGACCCCGTGTATGCTATACTAGAACGGAATGATAGTGAATTTGACTCGGGCCCACTTCCGATCGATGCACCCACCCCTGCAATACAAGTTTTAGATATATGAAAATGAGGTGTTGTTTCTTTTCGACTTAATCTGATAAGCTATATATAAGTGTTTCTCTTTTACTTTATACAAAAAGAACGACTTGATAGAGAAAGTCTCCCCCATCAAGTTGGAAGTTTTTCACAAATTTGCCCTCGTGCATGTTGTCGTGTTTTCAAATATTTTTAAAAATCATTTATCTTAAGATAAAACTCGTCAATAAAGCTCACACATGTATGTATATGTATGTATGTATGTATAGTCAACCTTATATGTTTACTTTTAGGGTCAAAAAATTGAAACCCAATATGAACTTTATTTACTGATATTGTAATAAAGTTTAGGAAAAACACCTAACTATTATTAAAGTTCCGTTTAGGTCATTCAAACTATAAAAAACTTCGAATGAGGACACCCAACTATACAATCGGGTTCATCAACACCACATCCTCCCAAAAATGACAAAAATAGCCCTAATTACACATCTGTTTAGCCCAATACAGAAAAAATATAACTTTCAACAACTTATTTTTTCTGAGGTTTCTAAGTTTGGCAAACAAACCCCCAAACTACGGGCTAGTTTTTGTTTAGTGACTTAACTTCAAAACTGAATTGAAGGGTATAAAAATGACCATTTTACCACTTTCCAGTGTAATTTCTTCCAGATTTGGTGTAAATGAACCCAGTTACATCGTTTGGTGTACTTCGAAGTTTCAAGGGTATAATAGTCATTTTACCATTTTTCAGTATAATTTCACCCAGATTTGGTGTAGATGAACCCAAATACATAGTTTGGTGTACTTTCATCTTTTTAGCCTAAAAAGACCTTCTTCAATAGTTCAATGACAATTATAATCACTAAAACTTTTATTTCAATTTTGAGTTACCTGATGATTTTGTGACAGAAGGCAAAGTAGCCGGTGGGTTTGACCCTGATTGAGCCCTGGTCCTATCTTTAAACAACAAAACCCAAACCACAACACCAACTAGAACCACAGCTACAACCACTGAGAAAGCTATTATAGCAATCAAACCACTATTCAGCTTATTGCTATGCCTCTGTTTACTCACATCAACACCCAATGGTTTCACATCCCTTCCATTGTTTCCATGACCATATGGTTCACCATTATAGCTTGAAGATGGCAAAGGTGGTGATGGAGGAAGCCCTGAAAAAAAAAAAAAAAAAAACAAGTTCTCCAAGATAAGCACTTTGACTTTTCAGGTCAAACAAACTCATTATCATCACTTCATATACCTGGATATTTCACGAAAAGAACTTCATAATCGCCAAAAAGTGAGGACTTAATCGGGACTTGTTTCATCCATAATCTTTGAGCCACAACATATGCTGTATAGTTTTCAAAAATTTCACCAAGGGGTACTAAGTTGATTATAGCAATTGTTTTTTCTTGATCTTGATTGTCTTCATTTGCTCCCATGATTCGAACTTGACTTGATTTTAGAAAGAGTCCAGAAGCCATTTCAAATGCCAGCTCAGATACCAATGGGAAGAAGGTGTATAATGAGATGCTAAGGCGGAGCTCCACTTGCATTGGTAATACACATTTGCATGGTGTTCCAGGAGGGGTGTTTGTCAATGGATCCACACATATTATTGATGAGCAATCTACAAATTAGATAAAAGAGTAAAATCAAGAAATCTTGAATGGATTCTTGATGAGAGAAATAACTCAATAAGAAAAGTTTTTATATATGTATACCTTCATTGGGAGGTGGAGGTGGTAATGCTTGAAATGGCTTTGGAATCATTGGTGGAGAACGAGAAGGGGAAACTTTAGGAGAGAGAATCGGCACTTGCAAATATAAAGATCATAAAAAGATAAGCTTTTGAAGGGTAAAATGGTCATTTTTATCAAACTCAGACTGTTCATTCGGTCTAAAAAAGAAACAATTTTTGTTGATACAACATTAACCCCTATCTGTTTACAAATTTGACTTGATACAGAAAGAAAGACTTAATAGAGAAAGTCAAAGAATGAAGACTATCCCCCATTAAGCACTATCTGTTTACAAATTTTCCTTCATTTAGTTTTTCTTTCCGTTTCCCTAAGAGTGTTATCATTTTCTCAAAAGAAAATTATACATTATTTATTCAGATAACATTTGAGGAGTTTCTTACTTGTAGATTGTACATGTGGAGGTGTTGTAGATGGAGAGATCGAAGGTGAAATAGAGTTTTCAATTGGAGGCACAGCCGAATCTGCAAATCATTTGAAAAAAAAAATTGTAACTTTTTGCAATGTAAAAGTAGAAAAGATTAAAAAAATATATATACAATGATAGTGTGCATGCATAGATAATGCATACCTAGACTTGGTGGTGGAGGGGTATGGTGGCTTGGCTTACTCGCAGGACCTGGTGGCGGTGGTGGTGGGCGGTGGTGCATTGGCCTACTTGCTGGTCCAGGTGGTGGTGGATACAATGGTGGCAAAGATGGTGGTGGATGAGATTCTGAAGGTGGAGACTTGTAACCTGAATGTGGAGGAGGAGCATGATGCACAACTGGAGCTACATAAAAGAAAGAACAATTATTAAAATATTAATTTTTGGTTATACTCCATATAATATAAAAATATAAAAGGAATTAAAATAAAAAAAAACCTTTAACTGGAGAACGTGGAGGTGGAGTGATGTTGGTTGTTCGATTTGGTGGTGAAGAAACTGGAAAACTGTCTCTTGGAATAGGAGTTGATATGGGAGAAACTGCAAAATTAATAATTAATTTATTAATTATATGTTTATATAGCATCCCTACTTTCATTTCTTCCTATTACAACATTGTACTTTGAGCAAAAAAAAAAATGAAAGTAGAATGTTCAATGGAAAGAAATGAAAGTAGGATGCTATAATAAACACATATTTGAAAGTACATTGCTATTTCTTGCTTTTAGCCCTTTATTTTTATACAACCAATATATCTTTTGGGATAGATGAAGTAAAAAAAAAAAAAAAAAAGACACCTGGTAAATTTGGAGGAGGAATGGATGAGTTATGGTGGATTGGCTGCAAATTTCCTGGCGAGTTTCTTGGAGGCAATGCAACAGGCCCTGCATCAGAAAATGAAATAAATAAATAAATAAATAATCAGATGAATGGAAATAGATATGCTGCATAAATATGAATTTATAATTCACCTGGTAAATTAGATAGTGGTGGTGATGCAACAAGAGATGGTGGTGGTGGTGATGCAACAGAAGATGATGGTGGTGATGATGCAACAGGAGATGGTGGTGGTGGTGATGCAACAGAAGATGATGGTGGTGGTGATGCAACAGAAGATGGTGGTGGTGGTGATGGAACAGAAGATGATGGTGGTGGTGATGCAACAGGAGATGGTGGTGGTGATGATGCAATAGGCACTAAGATTGTAAATTTTATGACATAAATTTGTAGTTAGAGTTATGCCACAAACGAACAAAATACAAGAAATAGCAACATACTTTGATTAATTTGTGTATTATAGCATCCTACTTTCATTTAATTTCATTACAACATTGTGCTTTCAATTTTTTTTTCTTATCAAAGCACTGTATTTTGAAAAACCAATCATATTATAGCATTGAAAATTGCATAGTAATTACATGACATTGCTATAGCTAAGTAGATTTTTCAAAATACAATCCTATAATAAACTAATTAATGAAAGTACTTTGCTATTTCTTGCATTTAACCTATTAAAGAAACCGATTTTTGCTTACCTGGCGGAGATATGGCGGATATAGGCGGAGTTGGAGGTGAATATCTTGGCAATGTGCTTGGGGGTGAAGTCATAGGGGCTGATTAGTAAATTTTATGAGAAAATATTAGTCAGAAAACGTGAAATCAAATAATTAAAAATTATAAGCTTATATTATTTATGAAAATATTAAAAGATTTTATCCCACCTGGCGAATTTGGCGGAGGTATGGTGGATATAGGCGGACTTGGAGGTGAATTTATTGGCAATGTGCTTGGAGGTGATGCAGAAGGGGCTGATTATGATTTGCATATAAAATTGAAAAAATGTCAAAATATTATTTTTGGATTTGCAACAAATTCATGGTTGGTAGATTTGTAAAACAAATATATATATATATATATATATATGTTATAATCAAATGTGAGATTCATCATTGAGGAAAGAAAGGGTACAAGAGTAAATTGCTAACAAAATTTATCCATTATTGTAATGATTACTACTAAGGGCAAAGAGGTAATTTTCAATTTAGTAGTCACCTGGTAAGTTGGGAGGAGGTAGAGGCAATGTAGGAGGTGAACTTGGTAATGTGCTTGGGGGTAAATCAACAGGAACTGCATTACCAAATAACATGACAAATTTATAAACATTTATGATAAATAAAATAACATGTAAAAAACTTTCATATTTTAAATTTTAAAGAATGTCAGATTTGGTCATTTCATCTATAATTTCTTTAAATAATCAAAATATTCCAAACACTCTGAATATTAATTATATGATGATTACAACTTCAAAGAAAAGAAACACATCCTAACACTCCCATTTTATTACAGTTAATTACATTTCACACCAAAAATTGAAGTACTTTATGAGCCAAAATTTAGCCATGATTACTAAGGGCAAAAAGGTAATTTTCAATATAAACCTGGCAAGATAGGAGGAGATGGAGGCAATGCAGGCGGTGAACTCGGTAAGGTGCTTGGTGGTAACTCAACTGGAACTGCATTAGCAAATAACACAGGAAATATCAGGTAACAAAACAACAACCACCTTTTTCAAGAAACCTTATCATAAACATTAAACACACACCCAAATGATGTTTTAAGAAAAACCTTCACTTTTTATATATAAAAATTCAAGAAACATTTCCAAACAAGACTTATACCGGTTTTCACCGTGTGAACTAAAAAGTCAAACAGACCTTTTCTTATATAGTTTGGGGAATATATATATATATATATATATATATATATAGTTTAGAAACAAGATATATTTTGCACATTTTCAAATAGAGAAAATAAAAAAAAATAAAAATTAAAAAAAAAAAAGAAATAGATATTCCATTACGTGGCAAGTTAGGTGGTGGTATGGGCAATGTAGGATTTGTTGGTGGTGATGCCACTGGCAACTTGTTTGGAGGCGATGCAACGGGCACTACACATTTTATATAAAATATTAATTTTTGAATATAATTCTTGATTGGACAAAAAAATTCATGATCATATTCATACATACATACATACATACATACATACATACATACATACATACATACATACATACATACATACCAGGCAAAATGATTGGTGGTGGTTGGGGGACGGATAGTGGCACTTGTGGCATAGATGTTGGCACTTGAGCCACGGGTGGCGGATTTTGAAGCATGTCTTTTGGTGGTGGTGCTATTTGTACTGCATTGAAAATTCTTAAAAGTCAATGCAATGAGTGTTTCCTTTTGACTTAATGGGGACATGACTTAATCTGGTAAACTATATATATATATATATATATATATATATATATATATATATATATATATATATATATATATATATACTGGTGTTTCTTTTTTAAACATCATTTATCCAGACAATACAGTTTACCTGACATGGTTGGTGGACTGACAGGAGATTTAGAATCCGGTCCCTTTTCCAGTTGAGGAATTGGTGGCACGGATACCGGAGCGGTTGGCGGGACAGCTGGGAGGCTTGGTGGTGAGCTTTCTGTGATTGATGTGATTGGCCCTGCAACTAATGTCATGTATTTTGAACATTAATTTTGATATGACTTCTTTTGAGTTTTAATTAAAGTTCAAAATCATTTGAAGTATGCAAACAAATCCATGTAAATTTCAAATTTTGACCATGAAAATTAAAGTGGAAAGGAGCATACCTCCGGCATTTGGTGGTGGTTGATTTGGAGATTCAAAATGGGGAGGATCTGAAAGGAATTGGTAATTGAATTAGATTTTTTTTTAAATGTTTCACAACAAAATGTTTTTAATAAAATAAAAGTTTTACCATTTGGTTGAGATGTTGGACCAGGTGAATTGCTAATTATTTGGCCTTCATTAATGGGAGGAACACCAGAAAAACTAGCCGATGGTGATATTGTTTGCCCTGAAAGTAAACAGTATAAATATTTTAATACAAGAATGAAATCTATTTTTCAAATTTTCTTAAAGGTGCTAAAGTTCATGAATTTTCTGGAAATATCATAAATCTTCCGAATCTAATGACGAATATAAGCATTGTTTTTGCTAAATTGTAAAGATTCATCGAATTACATCAAATCATGATTACAAATTGATTGAATTACCATTCATGTTTTCACATTTTTAGACAGTAATTCATATTTTCGCAATTAGTAATCACAAAACAAGAACAACTTGCTCCATCGAGATTTATCAGGAATGTAGCTCAAACACAAGAACAATAATTAAAAAGGAAGAAACAACCAAACCCACTTCAAAATTTCATAAATTTCCCAAATGGGATCTCAAGAAATGGCTAGATTTGGATATTATCCATACAGAATCCAAAACCTTGAGAAGGGTAATAAGGGAATTACCTGAAGATCCTTCAAGAAGCAGAGTACTAGCAATGGCACAAACTTGAAACACCAAGAAGAAGTACTTCACCATCGAACCCATCCCATGAATACGAAGAATTAGTAATCCCCAAAACACCAAACCCAAATTGATCCAAAAAGAATCAAACCCAAATAATAAAAATAATAATAACTCTTGTTACTTATTATAATAATAGACTGAACATGTAAAAACTTGAAGCAACAATAAAAGAAGAGAGAGAAAAAGGGTTTAGATCAAAGGACACCCACAAACAGTGAGCGACAAGCAATGAAGAGAAGGAGATGGAGTTCCTTGAAACACTCCAAAAAGGGTTTCGGTTTTTTTATTATAAGAGCATAAAATTATGCTCTGTAATTTGCAGAGCTGATTCTTAAAGGTCGACAGGATCATGTTACTATTACAGTTACATACAACTGTTATCTTTTGTTTTCAAGAATAAAACTAAATTTAATTATATACTATTAAAATGAAAAGAACATATTCTCGTATATTACCAATCTTTATACTAACCCAGGATTAAAAACAACAACACTCGAGACAATCAAGATTAATTCTTTATTGTATTAACTTCTGCAAAAATTAACAACTTTTTCAAGAATCAAGAGTGTACCAAACAGATTATAAAAAAAGGGGGGTTTGGTGGGATTGAGGACGGAGGAATGGATGTTTTAGAGACTTTTTTACAGGGGGATTTTCTTGAAATTGTGAAAATAGAGGAAACCCCACCAAATGTTTTGTGAAAAAAGAGTTAAAAATTAAAATTGTCGGTTTCTGTTGAAAATTTTAGAAAAGGGTTTGATGGGTGGATTAAAAGGGGGTTGCTTTGACCAATTTGGTTCCTGGATTTCGGTTGATGGTGTTGGCCATTCAAGAAGATGGAAAATAAGAGAGATGGCATGTGCCTATTTGCATTTGACAACTCACCTTCTTTTTGTGTGAATGTCAAACAAATCACGATAACGATATTGTGTTAATTTTTAGGTAAATCTTTAATTTGGTACATTGCATTATTTTGGAGATTAAATACAATTTACAATCAGATGGGTTAATCTATATGTATAAATTGTAATACATAAAATATGGGCCTATATAAAATAATGCACAACATGCTAATACTCTACTACGTCATTGCAGTTTGAAAACTTCTAAATTGTTTCTAAAATCTAGGGATGAGCGTGGGACGGAACCGGTACCGACCCGTACCGTTCCCGAATTCCCGAAAACCGAATTTTATCGAAAGTCAATCCCGAGTACCGAACCGAATTACCATCATCGGTACCGGTATCGGGAATGGTACCGGTTTTTGGTACTAGTACCGGTACCGGTGGTACCGAATCCCGAATTTCATGTATTTGGAGTACCGAGTACCGTCCCATATTTTCAAATTCGGTACGGTTCGGTACCGGTTCCGGTACGGTACCGGTACGGGATCGGGATTTGGGACAAACTGCTCATCCCTACTAAAATCTATGAATAGAGATGTATCTGAGTCTAAATGAGAAGTGGCTTCAGTTGTCCATATACCAATCGGTGTCGGGTTGATCAATGGACATAGCGCCAAAGGCTTAAACCAAGTCGGTAGCTTGATTATCAAAAGGTGGGAACCACTCCCATGGTAGAGAAAAAGAAGGTGTGGCGGCATGAAGTGCATCATATTGGTGTTGTCGTATTGGCGAGGCTACGACATAGATTTGTTGGGAGTTGCGTTGGTTATACTCGACTGTGATGAGGCAGCAACTTGGTTGTTGCTTTGTTTTGATGGCGTTGTTGTTGTTGGAAGCGACTGTTAGGTGAGGAGGAAGTGGTTGGTAGGTGAGGAGAAGGCCACAGAGGTGTGAGGAGAAGGCCACATAGGATGACATTGCCCAACCATAAGTGTGACATAGTACACTATATGGAAGCCACAAAAAAGTAGGTAGGTTGTAAGCGCCGGTTAGAGCATGAGGACGTCGGTTTTCATAATGTTCACATCTTCGTTTGTTAGAGGAACGATTAGAGTAGTGGTTACATTGTGAGTTATCAATGGCTCTATAGAAGGGTTGGAGACTTGAGTTGATATGTGAAGTATTATAGACGAAAAAGACTAGCCATTATGGGTCAGACGAGATATGGGAACTTGAGACATGTGTTGTTCCTCTAGTGAGAGCATGGAGCGAGCTCGTAGAAAAGCAGGCAGCGGATTGCGGTAGCGGATCATAGTGGTTATATTGTCAATTTTTCTAGATAATCCATTGAATAAATAACTAACAAAAAATGTGTTTTGGATGGTTTTGTTGGATTAGGTGTCTAAGCCCATAACTATATTTGGTATGTACTTGACCCGGTTGTAGCATGGTCCTTTTGGGTTGCCTTCACCAAAGCAACTTGATTGGATGAATAATAGAGAAAGAGGTTATTATGGTTTATTAATATATTATATGAATATTATATTAAAAGAGGAATCATATTATTTAATTAACATTGGTCAATAATTAATTTAGAATTAATTTTGTGGTCAAAAGAGGTTAATTGAATTAAGGGGACTGATATTGTAACTATGTGATAATTGCAATATGGGCTGAGGAACCCTAATGATAGGGGTGGACGAAATTCTTGTGGAAGCCCACTGGATTTCGTCCATAGTAGGGATTCTGGAAGATTCATGTGGGCTGCTTAGGGCTTAAGCAACCTGATTAGGTATTTGACTGAAACCCTAATTCTTCAGCTATATAAGGACACCATTGGCTTCACATTTTTGGTTACCATAACCTTAGAAGGATTACTAGAGCCGATTTTGAGCCTCCTCCCTCTCTCTCTTGCATTCTCCAATTGCTTTGGTGTTTGTGATCTATTAGAGGCATCGTATTTGAGGTGCTAGGTTCTCAAAAACTCAAGGATCTTCAAGCTTCAATTGAAAGGTAACATTCTTACTAGTTATTTATGTTGATTTCGATTTTTGTTGTATGCTAGATTAGGGTTTGAAAGCTTTGGATGATTATTGCATGTACAATTAGAAAAACCTAGATCCAAAGCTTTAGGGTTTGCATGTGCACCATAAGATTGATGTTTTGCTCATAACCCAACAGTGGTATCAGAGCATAGGCCGTTTTTCTTTTGTATTTGATGCATAGCTAAATTGTTCAAAGCTCAAAAGTCAAAAAATCTTGCATCTGACTAATGAAGTCGTCGAGTCACCTGATGAACTCGATGAGTCCAATCAGTGACTCGGCGAGTCGGGTCGACTGGTGGCTGATTTTTCGGGATTTTGACTGAAATTGAATTAGGATAATTACCAAAAACGTTTTTGACTGATAAAATTCGAGTTTTTTCAATAAGTTATTGATTATCCTAATGCAATTCAAAGATAATTGTCATAAATAAGATAATTACTTGTTTTATATGATAAAGATTGATTATTTGTATTTTGATTTGAATTATCTTGTCAAGAAAATAGTGATGGGTTTTGAGCACTACATCATTCCTATGGTGTACATGCAAACCCTAAAGCTTTGGATCTAGTTTGTCTAATGAACATGCAATAATCATCCAAAGCCATAAACCCTAGATCTAGCATGTGATAATCAAATAACATATGAATTAGGTTTTAGATCTTACCTTGATTGTTATGTAGCAATAACAATCTCAATTCCTTCTTGTAATTTGCTTTTAAAAGCTTAGAGTCGCAAATGTCACTCCTCTAATGTCTCACAAACACCAAGAGCAAGAGGATGAAGAAGGAGAAGATGAGAGGCACTCAAAAACGTCTAGAAACCCTAAGGAAACTCTTAGCCACGTTTTTGGTGCCTTAGGGGTCCTTAAATAGTGAGGCTATTAGGGTTATCTAACAAGGAAATCCTAATTTGACTGCTTAGGCCCTAAGCAACCCATGGACTCCTCCTTTAGAGGCCTTGGACGCTTTCTAATGGGTTTCCCCATAGAATTCGTCCACCCCTCTAATAAGAAGTTCATTAGCCCAATATTCAACTATCACACAGTTGATAGTTCTAGTCCCCTAAGTTTAATTAATCTCTTTTAGCCACAAAATTAATTCTCAATTAATTATCGACTAATATTAATTAAACAATATGATTTCTCCTTTAATATATTATTCTCATGATGTATTAATAAATCATAATTAATCCTCTCTCTCCATAATTCATCCTATCAAGTTGTTTTGGTGAAGGCAACCCAAAAGGACCATGCACCATCGGGTTAAGTACATACCAAAATAGTTATGGACTTAGACACTAATCCAACAGTCTCCCACTTGGATAAGTCTAATAACTATTCTGCGTATGACTTCAGATCCTGGTCCGCAATCGTAGCTTTCAAAAGTCGCTGTCAACTCTGATCTTATCAGAAACGCGTCCTTTAGACAAGGGATCATATATTCCTCCATTACCAGATATCGTATAGACGTGAGACATGGATTGAAATCATTCTCTCAGTCTATGTGTCGTTTCCCGATTTCCGATTTATGACAACTGACTAATTGAACAAATCAAATCAGTCCTGGCCCGGCCGAGCACTTTCCTTTGTCATCACTAAATCATCGAGGGGCCCACAGATATCGCTTTTATCCCACTTTGGGTAAAAGGAATGGATAAACTTCGACTCAATGCTCGCTTGTACTCACTCACCGAATCACACACAACAATACGTTTTATAACACCAAGTTACTGGTGCGTTTACATATTATCAATGTATAACCGACTCGCAAGATACAACTCACACATCTCGGTTTTAAGAATATAAGATATTATCGTCTCACCAATCGCTCGTGATAAAATCCATGAAGCGATCCAAGTGAGCATGGGTTTAATCCAATGCTCAAATCATATTCATAAGCACTCATGAACGTTGTAGCAAACTTTTGCTATGTCTAATACACTTTAGACAATCTACACACCAATTCATGACAATCTTCTTTCATACCTACTCCCAAAGTATGAGTGACTGTGGAACGTTCAAATAATTTGATTATTCTCAAATAACTCAATTATTTAGGAAGTCAAAACATGAAAATTGAAACACAAGAATAATACTAATCTTATATGGCCCCAAACTTTTGAGTATAAATAAAACACTTTTGTTTAATCACCATATTGATTACTCATTATTTGTTTTTTCGGGTAATCAACTTCTTACTTGAATTATAACGACAATTGTCCTATGCTCTTAGCATGCACACTATGTTTACTTATGGTCCTTACTCTGTGAAATAGTATAATTGAATAACATTTTCAATCACACTCATTTTGCAATTCCCAATCCTTACCACAAGTGTAAGAATACCAAATTCTTGCCACTTATAGAATATGTTAGATTCTAACACTTTATGCAACAGTCCTTTCGTAATGTCATGGCACAAAAGTCACCAAGACTCGGCCAATGAAATTACAAAAAACTCTATTGGAGATTGTTACAAGACAATTACATAGACATGAAGTCTCGCATTCAAAGTACATTCCTTTGAACATCCTTCTTGCATAAAAGTTTTTCTAATCTGGACATAAACTCTTAACGTCCAACTCCCAATAAGGAAACATTTCCATATTTGCCATATGACAACTCATTATTAATAGAATCATTTCTAATAATAATAATGTCAACTATACTTCCAACTGTTCACAAGCGACCAATCCTTGGCGAACCTTAGATTATCCTTGACAGTTGTTTAACTAATTCAGTCAAATCTGATTCTAGTCCTTTTTCCCTCTTAATGCCCTAGGCATTTGGAAAATTTTAGAACGGTCGAATATTACAATGACATGATACTTTACCAGTCTTTTGCTATAATATTTCTATTTGCCATGTTCTCACGATTCGAACTATGAAGAGGGATGTCGTAATCATAATCGAGTGTGAGAACACAACAATTATTTCCATATATAGAATTCTCTTACGTTGAATCCTTTCAACATAACATTCATATATCTTTTTGAC